CACTTTGTACTCGTTAAAGTCTTTATAGTTTTACTATTAACTTTTAATGTAGTATATATACAGACAAAGTTTAGCACTCTTTCAGTAAATATTATAAGTCTTTCACATACAAAATCATATTTTAGTGAAGTATTTTAATAAACTAAAAAAAAATTTCATGTTAAGTATTAAGAATATTTTTCTTCATCTCAAAAATTTCAAGTTTCATTTGCATAATCTCTAAAACTTCCGAAGTACATTTCAAATGTCTGTTTTAAATAAAACTATATATTTTATTTTTATTTTCTCTACCCTAACTTTATGTAAGGTTAGTCAATTTGACCGACCTCGTAACCATAAAATAAATTAAATGAATCTGAAATACCCTTTTTTATTTCAAGAATGACTTCAAATTGTAACATGAAACTACATTCATTTATCCTAAGTAACTTTAAACTTGTAACGATATGCATCTATTTGTACTTAAATTTTATTGTTTCATTGCCCTTTGAACCTTATCTAACTATTATTCATCATTATAAGTTGTAAATCAGTTGGGGAACTTGGAGCTCATGTTACGCTGTCGAATTAAATTACATTACACACGAACTGCTTGCATGCATACCTCGGGAAATATTTTTATTATATTATTATTATTATTTATTTTACCTAATCTAACCTTAACTAGCCTAAAGAGAACCCTATTTTTACATTTCAGTTAATTTTATAATAATAAATAAAGAATAAACAAGAAATAAAGTACTCACCCGGTTCTTCTTTTTCTTTTTTTTTTGTTTCTGTCGACTGTCGATGACACTTAACCCTACTTTTTTATATACTAATGATAGTAATACACTAAATAATTTTATTTAGTTAAATAATGCACCAAAGAACCTTAAGTAATAACATGCATAAAGCAGACAATTTCATCCTAACTATGACAATTTTTCTGGCTTTCTGACAAAAGCCATTACAAATTCATCCAAGCTTGTCGTTGTGTTCCCTTGGGGATGAAGCTTGGACTAACAAAGAAATTGACAATTTTCTGCTCAGAAAACAGAGTAATGTAATACATCATTTGATTGGTTATACATAATACAGAATTAAATGTAAGGGAGAACAATTAATAAATTTTGAAAGGGAGGATGTGACAGGTGGGTGTTGGCAAGAGGAGTCTAATTTTCTATTTGATAACTCTGTAACTAAATAAATTGAAGGCTATAAAAATTATGGTTTGGATGAGCAATGATGATTTTATAGTGAGTAATTTATGTTAAATTTCATACTTATTGGAGGGGTGGTGAATAAAATGGAGAAATTTGGATGCTTAGAAAAAATGTCACATTTCTCACACTAAGATAAATTCAGGATTTTCTTTAATATTGCCTTATAAAATTAGAACTCAAAACTTATATACTATTAAAATATGAATTATTAGCTACAAATTTATGCTATACTAATTGGTATAACATATACATAAAGTAGTTTAATTAAATTTTGAATGTAAATCACTATAACCTTGTGACATATGCAGTAAAGGATATCCATGGTGAAAGGGTTAATAAACCAGATGTTAATACTTTATAAGTTTTAAGATCTTAATTTTGTAAGGAAATATTTTTAAAAATCCTCAGTCTACCATACTGTGAGAATTGACATTTGCTCTCTAGGTATCCCCTCTTTTCTTCTCTCACATAATTTAACATAAATTACTCATTATAATATAGTTGTCACTCAGGTAAAACATGATTTTTATAGCCTTCAATTTTACTTGGTTACAGAAATGTAAACTATAAAATCAAACCCACTTGCCATGTCCACTTATTACATCCTCTCTTTCACAAATTGCCAACAATAGTTCTCTCTGATCTTTAATAATATATTATTTAGAACCAATAGAAATCCAAAGTTTTATGTATCATATTACATTGTTTTCTGTACAGAGACTTGTCTATTTCGTTTCCAGTTTAAACTTTATTCCCACAGGAAACACATCAATGAGCTTAGCTGAATTTTTAAAGACTCTCATCTCACAGTTACAAAGCTAGAAACATTACGATAGTTGTAGGAAATTGTCTGCTTTTTACTTGTTATTAATCTGTGTTCTTAGGTGCATTATTTAATTATATAAAAAATTGTTAAGTGTGGTAGTACCATTAGTATAAAATAATAGAAAAAATAGGGTTAAGTTTCATTGACAGTCCACATCAAAAATAAAGACCTGGGTAAATATTATATTTCTTGTTTTTTATGTGTGTTCTTTACTAATTATTGTAAAAGTAACTAGAATTTAAAAATTAGAAACTTATTAGATAAGATAAAGAAAATAATAACAATATAAATGTTTCAAGATGTATGCTCGTGAGCAGCTTACCTGTAGCTTGCGTAATACATTATTGTATAGGATAACCTGAGCTAAGTGTTTGCCAGATGATTTACAACTTGTATGGTGGGATTATTAGACACAGTTCAATGGGCAATAAAACAATAGAATTTAGGTAGAATTAGATGTATAGTGTTCCTAGTTTTAAGCTATTTAAGATAAATAAGTCTAGTTTCCTGTTACAAATTGAAGTCCTTCTACACAGAAAAAGGTAACTTAGATTTATTTCGTTTTTTTGTTTTTGATTTTTTATAGTGGTTGTAAGAATGGTCAATTTAACCAACCCAGAATAGAGTTAGGGTAAAGACAATAACAGAAAAAAAATAACATTTGAACTTGATTTAGGAAGTTTTAGAGATTACACAATTAAACTTGACAAATTTTAGATGAAGAAAGCTATTTTTAATCATAATGTAAAAATCATTGCACTCATAACAGTCAACACTTTTACTCCATATATTAATGGAGAAATTTTTAACTGGACCAATTGTTGGATGAGGGGTTGCAACGGAAATATCTGCTGAAGCTTTTCCCCAGACACTAATCATAGCAGAACTGTCTGGAAAATTATCTATAGGAAATAGTACAGCTTATAAAATGAGTTGGAGCCAATCAGGAAATGTCACAGACCTACTGAAGGATGTGTAGATTGTATA